AAATATAGATATAATATATTAATATATGTGAATTTATATATATGAAAGGAAATTAAGACATTGAATAGACTTATTTGTGATCTTGTTTGTTTCAGTAATATTCACAAGAACCAAAATATGGCATCAAAATAAGTGCCCATCAATGGATGAATGAATGAAGAAAAGGACACCACACACACACACACACACATACACACACACACACACACACACACACACACACCCACCCCTATGCAAAATTTCATTTACCCTTTAAAAAGAAGAAAAATTTATCATTCTTCACAGCATGGATAAACCTAGCATATTATTTTATGTCCCAGGTACAGAAAGACAAAAGCTCATTTCATCTTTGTGAAGCATCCCAAAATTTGTAATCTATGAGAGCAGAGAACAGAATGGTTGAAACTAGGGACAGAGAGTGTAGGAATAAGGAAATGTCCATCAAAAGTGATAAAAATCTCATTTAGATAGGAAGAATAAGTCCAATAAATCTATTGTTTTACATAGTGACTCTAGTTCATAGAAATGCATAGCATCCTTGAACATTACTGAGTGATTTTGAAGTGTTTTCACCAAAAAAGTAAAAAGAGATAAATTTGAGGTAATGTATATTTTAATTAGTTAAATTTAGCCATTCTACAATGTATACGTTTCAAAACATGTTTTAATGACAGGTTTATGCAATTTTGTGAATTGAAAAAGAAAAACAACAACAAAAAATAAATCAATTCTGTGGGAGATCTAGAAACAACCAAAAAGACAAAGAGTACTTTTTTCAAAATGAGAGTTTTGAAATGTGTATGTACATTAATAAATACTATATACTATTTAATATAATACATAAAAGAGATGATAAACCTTCTAGAGCTTTTAATGATACAAACATCCCACTGCAGCACACATCATAACCTCAACACAACTAGCGTATAACATGTATGCATGTTTTCAAGGATATGAACACAATAATGCATATCTATATCTACATGTGTACATGTCTATGTCTACGTGTCTATGTATATATTTAATTATTTATCCACATGTGACACTGCTGAAGACCCAATTAAAAAAATTATTCTATTATTTTGTTCAGGGTTATGCAAGATTAGAAGCTATCAATGATCTCTTAAATATTTTATTAGTATTGAAGAATAACCACTTGTTTTTCTACCAAGAAATGGTGCTCATGTTAACTTTGAACTGGTCAATTGCATTTAGAGTTGTAGAGAATCTTTTGATTTATATTATTTCTGACATTAAAATATAAAAATCCTACCCTTTTAGGATTTGGGGCTGGGAACCAAGCACTCTGAAAACTTTTTGAAGTATCTGACTTCTTTTCAAATGTATGAATCTATAATTAAGGTAAAACTAGCAGTTACATTATTTTTAAGGAATACTAAATACAAGAAAATCAAAAAAAATAAACACACAGCCTAGACAGAATTTAACAGTGCTCACTCACTCCCTTTGTATGGAACACTTGGGTCATAATGAAACAATTATTTTGTTTGTTGGCTCATTAGAAGCAGAATTTGTTGGTCCACATGCACGGTAAAGATTTTTTTTTTCAGCTTTAATTGAGTTTATTGGTACATTTTAGGGATACAGTACAGTTACATTCATTGTTGGGATCTTGTACCTCTACATGACAAGTCTTGATTCTCATTTTTTCCCCTTACCCCTGCCTTCCCTTCACCCCCTCCTTGCCTCCCCATCTACAAACACTTTATTTTCATCTTTTCATTCTCTCACATTTTTTTTCTTTTCCCTTTTTACTCTTCCCCTACCCATCCCACCTTGCCTACACCTTTAGCTCCTTTCTTTCCATTTCTAAGTGTCAGTAATCTTATTAGAATCTTATGCATTGTTGCAGATTATTTACACCAGGGAAACTATTCGGTATTTACACATGTGTGACTTATTTATTTCACTTAGGAGTATAACTTCAATATGTATCCATTTTCCTATGAATGAATCTATTTTATCATTCTTTATGGCTGAGTAATATTCCATTTTATAGAAAAACCACAACTTCTTTATCCAGTTTCCAACAGATGGGCAAATAGGCTGTTTCCAAGATTTAGCTATTACAAACTGTGCTGCTATAAACATGGGTGCACATACTTCTATGTGATATGATTCTTTTAGTTCTCTTGGAAATATACCCAGCAGAGGGATGGTTGGGTCAAATGGAACCTCCAGTCCAAGCTCTTTGAGGTATCTCCATATTGATTTCCATAGTGGTTGCACTAGTCTGCACTCCCAAAAACAATGGAGAAGGGTTCCTTTCTCCCCACAACCCTGCCAACATTTGTTATTGTGTGATTTCTTGATAGTAACCATTCTTTGTGGGGTGAGGTGGAATCTCAGTGTTGTTTTCATGTGCATATCTCAAATGGCCAGTGATGTGGAACATTTTTTCAGATATTTTCTTGCTGCTTTTACTTCTTTGTCTGAGAAATGTCTGTTCATTTCAGATGCCCATTTTTGAATCGAGTCTTTCTATTTGGGGGGACTGATTGTTTTGAGTTCTTTATATATCCTTGATAATAGTCCTTTGTCTGAGGAACAGCTGGTAAAAATTCCAAATGGATTAAAGATCTAAATATTAAAACAGAAACATTAAATTTGCTGGAAGGTAAGTTAGGCAGAACTCTGGAAGACATTGGTATAGGGAAATGACTTTATGAACAAATCCTCAGTATCATGGGAACTAGCAGATAGAATCAACAACTGGGATCTCATCTTACTAAAAAGCTTCTGTACTTCAAAAGAAACCATCAGCAGAGCTAAGAGACAATCTACAATGTGGGAAAAATTTTTTACCAGCTGTTCCTCGGTAAAGATTTTTTTAAAAGAATTTGTTTCACTAGTTTTGATCACGTTGTCTTACAGCGGCCATAAAGTTTTAGGATGGGGACAAAAAAGGCCATTATGGTGAAGAAGCATCCACGTTTCATTTTTGGAAGATAAACACTTTAACACCAAAGATAAAACAAAGATAAACAGATCATAAAAATCTTGATTCTTTTATCCCAGTTTGTGTACTACTGTTTTATTTATGTTCACTAAAAGTCTTTATGCACAGAGTGATTTTGAGTACATATAGGGCAAATAGACACAAGTGGACAATCATGTGAGAATATTGAACTGAGGTTTATAATGAAAATTGTTCACAGAATTATCTTCCTAATAAATATATGTTGCCTTGTGTGTGGGTGTGTGTGTGTGTGTGAGCGCGTGCGTGTGTTTAGAGCAGTTTCTAGGTTGCCCCAAGTTGGTCTTAAATTTGAAGTTTCAGGGCTCCTATTTCTGTAATCTCCCAAGTAGCTGGGACTACTCAGGAATCTCATCCTGTGTCGCTTCGTACTTAGCTTTTTCTTTACAAAAGAGCAATCACAAGATGAATCTGTAATGTAGTCAATGGGTGTTATGCAACTAGAAGGGCAGGCAGTACCACTGCTGGGTTGTTCAAAATGATATAATACATTAATAGAGATAACAATGGGAATCTTTTAGGCCAGGTTCCTCTAAAACTGTATTTGTTAGTATTTATATTCACGAGTACATGCACTTCTCATACAAGGAAATGTTTCATTTGTTTGAACTTCCAGAAAGGTCTTCGGCTACTTCTCAATTTTGTATTTTAAACATAGTGTGTGCAAGCCCAGCTTGAGCAGGGTGATCGGTTACAAAACAGAGCTCTGTGACTATTAGTCTCTTACTATAAACTGCAGCAAATGTTACAGGAAAAAAGCCTGTTCAAGGCTTAACAAGAAGCAAGGAAGATAAGAATAATTACTTTTGAGGTTATATTAGTGCAGTACCTTCTGAAGCTTGGATTCTTGTGTGTCTGTGTGTCCACATCTGTGTGTAGGTCTGTATGCGTAATGGTTTTAATTTTTTAAGAGTTTATTTCAATCCTATTACACTTTAAAATTTCAGCAATGTAACATTGTAAAATATTAAAAAATATGTTTTCTCACTACCACAAAGTGAATGAACAATAAATTCTGATGTTATTCACAAATGTTCTTACCTTTACATCTTTCACATTCATCCTTGTTCCTTCCTTCCCCACAAATATGTCATCAATGTCCACGAGGATGTACCTGTCCAAGGACAGTGTCAATCTCTTCCTTGACAAGAAGGAGATGGCATCTATGAAGATGAGCTTGTGCAGCCAGAAGTTCAAGTTGTTGCCAAAGAGAACTCGCTGGATTCCATCGTGAAGGCCCAGATCCTGAATTACTGTCGCATAAAGTATTTTACTGGACAAAAATGAAAGGGATTTTTCTGTCTGTAGTTCAGTTAAAAGCACAGGTTGATAGGTTGAGTGGTTATATTCGAAAATAGTCCAGTCTGCCCCAGGAAGAGGGCCTTTCTCAACCTTGGGGGCTTTGGTAACATGCAGTAAAGGAGACTGAGGGTTGACGAAACAGTCCTTTAGAGCTAGATTATTGAAGAGGTTTAATGGAAATCCTTTTAACTGTGTACTTGGTAAGGTGTTCTCATTGGCTTTATGAAAACCGATTATACTAACACTGTATTCCACACAGTATTTTTCTAAAAGCTCTCGGTTCCATGAGTCCATGCTGACATACTTCAGAATATTTTCATAGATAACTAAAGTGTACTTCCCTTTGCCCTTATCTGTAAGAGGAGGTATATCTCCCTTGCCTGGGGCAATGACCATGTGGTACTGGAATCGGCTGGACTCCAAGATAGCTATGATATCTTGACCAAGTTGAGAATATTGGCTCTCCACGAAGAGGAGGACCATAGGGTCAGTTTTAGACGTATCAATAGGTTTAAACGTTTTCAGTTCCATTGACCGATACGGTAGAATTTTAATGTCAGCACATTCTGTTTCTGCAGTGGTTTCAATAAGTGTCATTTCCTGTTTGTAGCCAGAATAGAGAAAATAGGCAGAAATGACAATGCTCACCAGACAAAAGGTAGCTAAGAGAACAATCAATGTTCGGAAACTTCTCCGAAGCTTCACAATAAGATTCATTTTTTAAATTTATGCTTTGGAAGCTTTTTTCCAACTTCTTTTCCTAAAGTGCCATCACGAATAAAGTATGAGATGGTGGAATTACCACTTCCCAAAAGTTCATGTAACCATTGCAAATCATGTAAAATATTTGAAAGGATCACAAATGAGTTAAAGCTGGAAGGCAGTGGGCCAGAAGGATAAAGGTTGAAGAGATTTTGAATATATCCAATACCAAGAATTGCTGCAGAATCCTCTAAGCATTATCTGAAAAAGAGGAGAAATGTGATAACTAACAAAGAAATAGGAATGTTGATACTGTATTTATATATGTGCTGATCTCTAAGATGCATAACTATCAAAATAATATTAGTCTATTAAGTGCTAGTATATGCTTTTTATTATCTAGATTCAGAGTATTCCAAAGTTTTACAGCATAAAGAACCCTATTTCATTATACCCAAGTGTCCTTATGTATGCAAGAATGCATGCTGAGATTTCTTCAACTAAGTCACCTTAACATAAAGATAGATGTAAGAAGTTTAGATTTAATTTAAATTTTAATTATCATAAAATTTGCTTCTCCAGGTCTCGTAGAAAACTAGGTACTTATCTGAGAAGTAAAACATGCTCTTTAAGTGTTTCTTCAAGTTTCTCCAGTACCAAATTGAGTGAATGATTTTTTTAGTCAATGATTTTTATTTTATATTTATAGCACTTGTAAGTTTTTCCTTTTATTATCTAGCCTTCATCTATGGATCAGAGAAAGCCACTTAGCTTAATTGCCCAAATAAGCAGAGAGAAATGGTCTTCCCATTTTTCAAGGCAAAGCAAGAGAGAGATTGCGGAAGAAGGAACAGAGCAAGAAAAAGCACCCTGAGTTCCTTCTCATGAAACCAAGTGCAGAAAGCATAGACCAGAAGAAAATCTTGGCCCATAATTCTCAAAGCACATTCCTTAATTTGGCTTACTCCAGATATCAGAATGAAAACTGAGTTTTCCATTTTTTATTTTAATTCAACAATCAAAAGTTCAATATCCTATTCTCTCATTTAGTTCAAAAGAAAACAGATGTAGAAAGCATTAAAAAAAAAACACACGGGAAACTTCATCAATCGCCTTCATTATAAGTAGAGGTAATTTTCCATTATTATTAGTTTTTAAAACTAAATGACAGTGAATTTAGGGAATTTCTTTCTCCCGAAAGTTTTTTCATCAACCTCAAAACTTTGCTTGAGTTCTTCAAGAATTTTTTATTTTGCAATTGCCAAACTAGTGTCCCTGAAAGAGTTCCCTAATAGTTACTACTGTCAATCTGATGTGTATGAAAGGGCTTTGTCATGACACACTACAACACAGAGAGTCACACTTGCCTGGTTTGTAATGTGCTCTACCATGCTGTGAGTATTTTATAGGCTTTTTTTCCTTTCTTTCTTTCTTTTTTTTTTTTTTTAAAACAGAGTCTCACTGTGTAGTTGAGGCTGATTTGGAACTTGCTATGTAGCTCAGGCTGGTGTTGAACTCACAGCGATCCTCCTGCTTCAGCCTCCCCCGTGCTGGGATTACAGGTGTGTGCCACCATGCCCGGCTATAGGTTTTTGCATTTTATTTTTTAAATTTGGTAATCTGAGTGATTAATAACCACAGTGAAAATAAAATTATATTAAATAACATCAGGTTAATATTAGATAGTATTAAATTTTCCATTCTTATGCTGCTATTTCTGTTGTATGTTCTTAGGCTCTAAAATAAGTTTTTCCAAATAAATAATCAAAATTAAAGTCAATGTTAATTTGTAATAATGTTCATTTTTACCTTAGATTTGGAAAAATATTTTTAAAACATTCCCAAATTTTACAATTTGAATTTTCAAAATTTCTACCCTTTATTGGAAATATTTCATTTTTTCAAGTTCCAAATATGTAAATGTACCTAATCATTCCACTGTGAAATTCACTGTGTTAATTTGAAAATATTCCTAGTTGATTCATTTTAAAGATAACATTAATTATGCATTTTAGGAACTTACTAATGCTCTGTTTTGAATAAAATTCTTGTAAGATAATTATTTGCTTTCCAAATGCATTTCAAATGTTTCAAAAATCAATCTTTCTTTCTTTTTTTCTCTTTCTCTTGCTTTCCCTTTCTTGCTTACTTTCTTCCTTCCTTCATTTTTCTTTCTCTCTTTCTTTCTTTTTCTTTATTTTGTTCTTTCTTTCTTTCTTCCTTATTTTCTTTCTTTGTTTTTTCTGAGATAGAGTCTCTCTATGTAATTTAGGCTGACTTGAACTCACTGAGTAGCCCAGGCTAGCTTCAGGGTGATCCTCCTGAGTTCTGGGATTCCACTGCTACCTGCCAAAATCTGTTTTCTTTTTGAAAAAAATCAAGCTACATTTTACTAAAATGAAATATAACAATCAAAAGGCTTTTATATGGTATAAAATATTTAAGCCAACTACACTGTACCTTCCATTTTTGTGTAAAGTTTAATTCATAAATAAATGTTTGAATAAACATGAAATTAATACCATATGTGTGTGTATATAACATCAATAGAAATTTGGAATTTGTCAGTGTGGTTTATCCAGTTGTGTATTATTTCCTAGGTGTCTCAAAGTTCACTCATATTATTTTAAAAGAATTTGACACTGGGAAAATAAAAGAAGGTTGGATAGAAGGGGAAAAAAAAGTTGAAATGTGTTATATACATGTACCAATTTCCTACAATGAATGTAACCATTATGTACTGCAATCATGTTCTAATAGAAGTAAAAAATTTAAAAAAAGAAAAAGAAAATGTGTGCCTAATGGACAAAGAACCAGCTCCACCCCCAGCCCCAGCAACCAATGGTTCTAGAAAAGCAGACATCTATTTACCAGACATCATTTACCAGAGGTGGGAAGTTTTAGCATGAAATTATTCAGGAGAGTGAAAGAAAAAGTAAATGTATGATAAGCAATACTTTGTTATCTTTGCCTATGCTGACATAAAAGAATCTTTATTTTTAAATACAAAAGAGATGAGATGTCAATTTTGTGTATTTAAAGAGCTCCTCCTAATATGCCATAGTGGAAGAAGTTTTTAAAAAGCATATGGTACTAAAATCTGCCAACACAATGAATAAATACAATTTAATGTGACATTTGTTTCACATTAATATGTTCAGAGTGGGAATAATGATGGGTATGGATCACCACAACAGTAGATGCCGGAGTTCTCTGCGTGCGTGAGTTTTAATCAAAGGCGTGAGCCTTCCCTCTCAAGCTTCTCACTTTTCCCTCCTTAACAAAATTTGGCCAGTGAAGGGAAGGAAGCATGAAATAAGAAGGGTGAGACATCGACAATGTTTAACAGATCCCACACCTAAGAGAGGATGTGGTTGCTCACACTGCTTGGAATGCCAAGGAGATGTAGTCTGACTTGACAACTTTTGTTACTTAATACTGTGTATCTTAGAAAAGAAAAAAAGGAAAAAAAATATGGCAGGGAGTGGGGGTGAGGATACTAGCCAATGTAAGAATTTTAAATGGTCACTATTCTTCATGCAAGACAACTGAAATCAGTTTTCAAAGGATATATACTGCTAAATTAGCCAGATAAAATTAAGGAAATTTATTTCAGGTTCATGGTGGAGACATTAAAAAAACACCCCAATAGTTTAACAATCTGTGGATTACAATCCCCATTTGAAACTATACTGCAAAGCTACTGTGATAAAAACAGCATGGTACTGGCAAAGACACAGACCTGAAGACCAGTGGAACAGATTAAAAGACTCAGAAACAACTCCAGACATTCTCAGCCACCTCATCTTTGACAAGGAGACAGACACCCTCACTAGAGGAAAGATAGTCTCTTTAATAAATGGTGCTGGAAAAACTGGGTTTGAACTTGCCAAAGATTACAACTAGGCCTATATATCTCACCATGCATGAAACTAAAATTGAAATGGATTAAATGTCTAAATATTAAAACAGGAACACTATACCAGCTGGAAGAGCAGTTAGGTAGAACTCTTAAAGACACTGCTGTAGGAAAACATTTTATGAACAAAAACTCAGTTGCCCATGAACTAGTGCAAACAATCAACAAATGGGATCTCTTCTCATTAAAAAGCTTCTGCAAAGTAAAAGAAATTACCAACAGTGTAAAGAAACAACCCATAATGTGGGAAAAAAATTTTACCAGCTGTTTCTCAGACAAAGGTCTACTATCTAGAATATATAAAGAACTTAAAAAAAAAAGAACTTTCAAATTTAAGGACCCAATCCAAAAATAGGCATCTGTAGTGGACAGATATTTCTCAGACAAAGAGTTAGAAAGAACAAATAAATATATGAAAAATATGTTTTATATATATAAAATGGAGAAGTATTCAGCCTAAAAATGAGAAACTAGAATATTTATAGCTAAATGGATGCACATTGAGGTGATACTCTTCAGTGAAATAAATTGGACACACATGTGAAAATACCAAATAGTGTCTCTAGTGAGAGAAAATGAAAGTGTAAATAAGGAATAAACAGTATAATAGATATTGTGAAGTAGGAAGAAAGGGGGAAACAGTCAGGGTAGGAGAAAGGAAAGAAGGGAATGGAATTAATATGAGAAATTAAAAAAATGGAAACAAAGTCTTTGTAGATAGGGAGGGAGGGGTTGAAGGGAAGGCAGGGGGATGGGGGAAATAAGAACCAAGATGGATTAGGTAAAGGTGCACATTTCCAATGATGAACGTCATTAAACTGCAGACTGTAATGTAGCAATAAAATTAATTTAAAAATATGTGGAAGGCATTCTTAAGGACTCTAAGATAATATTTTAAATCTAAATAGCATACATTAGCTCCAGTAATCTAAATCTGACTTTCATAAATCTGTTGTTAAACGTCTGAAAAGAGTTACTCAGTGGTGACTTGTCATGACCACCTTTTCAAACTTTGAGCTGCATGCTCTCCCTTAACCACAGATACTGTGAAATAAGGAAGATTTTCAGGTGCCACTTTTCTCATTCACACTTTCTTCCCTGCTGTAAAGGAGATTGAACTCAGGGCCTTCACACTGAACTATAACCACACTCCTATTATTTACTTATTTGATGTTGTCTTGCTAAGTTTTCCTAGCTGGGCTCCAGCTTTCACTCCTCCCGCCTCAGGTGCATGTATGCCATCACATCTGGTTACTTTTTCTTTCTGTTTACCTTCTATATTTCCAAAATGGCTCTCCATGTTGGCACTGGTGGAATACAGAGCTCCCAGATTGTTTTATAA